GGGTGCGTGCGCTCGCCAGACAGACAGAGAGAGACAGAGAGACAGAAAGCGAGAAATCACCCCCAGGGGGGATGGCCATGCCACAATCCCTTCTCTGTTCTCCTCTCGGGATCTTGGGCACGCACGCACATGCGTCCAGCATGAGTTTTAAGCCACCTGGTCCGGGACGCGAACCGTGGTCGACTATGTGGGAGTCCAGCGACATAGCCATTATGCTAACTGCTGGTCCCCTATACCATTTTTATCTTTTATGCCATATTTTACTGTACTTTATCCATGTTTAGCTACACACTTCATTAACATTGTTACGTTTGCCTACTATCAGCACAGTGTCATGCTGTACAGGTTTGTAACTCAGGAGTCATGGGCTATACCGTATAGCATAGGAAAACAGTAGACTATACCATCTAGGTTTGTGCAGAAACACTCTTTGGAGGTTCACATGAAGAAAATCACCTAATGACACTTATCTCAGGATATAGTTCTGTCGATAGGTGTTGCATAAGCTGTATAAAAATAATCACTTTAAACATCAATAGTCTAGGGCCAGCCGGTGCTGTGGTGGTTGGGGAAACAGGATCCCACATGGCCAATTGTGTGATTCAAGTCCCTGCCCCCTGCCACTCGAAGAGCATGCCAGGCACATGTGCATGTATGCCCCCAATCCCAAGAGGAGAATGGCGGAGAAAGGATTGCTACATTAATATCAGAAAAAGCAGACTTCAAAGAAAAGAAGATTACCAGGATAAGATGGCGCTAAGTATGATGAAAGAGTCAATTCTTTAAGAAGACACAGTAATCCTTGATGTGTATGTGCTTAACAGTATTCCCTAACAGATGAAGCAACAACTAATAGAACTATAGGAAAAAATTTGTTGGGCACAATAAGTTCACTATTGTATTGGTTGACTTTGTAAACCCCTCTATCAATAGCTGACACATTGAGGTGACGGGAAATCAGTAAGAACATGTGAACTACACAGCACCATCTAGCAACTGGATTATCACTTATAGAATACTTCATCTTAACAACAGGATACACATTTTTCTTGAAGTCACGTGGTACATTTACCAAGGGAGACCAGAAATAACACTGTTTAAAAACAGGGACCAGCAGATGGTGTGGTGGTTAAGGCAGTGGAGCCCATATGGTCAACTGAGCACTTCAAGTCCTGGGCCCAGCTGCTTGGAAAACATACCAGATGCATGTGTGTGCATGCCCAAAATCTCAAGAGGAGAATGAAGGAGGAAAGATTGCAGTGTGGCCATCCCTTCTGGGAGGTAATTCCTCACTTTCCTTCTTTCCGTGTCTGTCTCTGATGAGTGCACATGTCCTACAGCAAAACTTAAAAATAAATAAATGAATAAAATAAGCATAAAGGGGCCACCAGTAGTGTGGTGGTGAAGGCAGACGTATCCCAAATGGCCCACTGTGCAGTTTGAGTCCTAGACCTTGGCTCCTTGAAAATCACTCTGGACATGTATGTGTATGTATCCAAAATCCTAAAAGGAGAATCGAGGAGAGATTGTGGCATGGTCATTCGCCTGGGGAGTAAGTCTTCACTTTCTCTCTATTTCTCTCTTTTGCTATTTCTCTCTCTGTGTCTCCAGTGAGTGCACGTGCCCTCTGGGGAAAAAAGATATAAGCAGATATATATCATCAAAGAGGAAATAAAGATAGCAAAGAAGTATATGAAAAGATGCTTGTCATCAGATTAGGACTGCAAAGTAAAATGAAAATAAGTTACTTGCATACTCATGGAAATGACTAATCCAAAACACTGGCAGCAACACAGGCTGTCAGATGTAGAGCAGCAGGAACTCCCATTGCTAGTGAGAATGCAAATAGTATAGCCACTTGGTAAGACAGTTTGATCGTGTTTACTGTTTTCAGTGAGTCATTTTTTTTATTTAATTTTATTTATTCATTCATTTACTTGAGAAGGTAAGCCACCAGGTCCAGGACTTGAACCATGTTCAGTGTTTATTGTGGCACTTTTCACGATTGCTAAGACATGGAACGAACCCAAATACCCTCGTATGACTGAATGGATTGAAAAACTGTGGCACGTATACTCTATGGAATACTATTCAGCCATTAAGAACAACAAAACCCTGGCTTTTGACAGAAAGTGGAAGAATATGGAAGATTTACTGCTGAGTGAAGCAAGCCAGGCTATGAAGGAGAGACTCTGTATGTCCCCACTTAATATATACCGAATGTCCACACTCTATAACTGAAACTGACGGGCTAAAGGATGTACGAACAGAAGAGGTGGATGTGAATGCCAGGTGTGGTGTGAGGAGTGGGGCCTGGGGAAGAACATTTGGAGGAGGGATACGAAGACAGCATTATTGAGACAGGGAGGTAGTGTTGTTATATTTTGATCAACTAGACCGGGGAGAAATGTTCACATATTGAAATGATCACCTTGTAAGCTAAATAATGTGATTGAATCTATTAAAAAAATGTAAAATAAATAATAAAAAAAAGACAGTTTAGTTGTGTTAACAAAGCTACGGAAATCTTACCACAAGACTGCCAGCTACTGTACACCTGGTATTTTCCCAACTGAGTTCAATTATGCACCTGCAGTAACCTATAAATAATATTTATACCTGTTTTATTTATAATGCCACAAACTGGAAGGAAAAAAAAAAGATGTTCTTCTACAGAAGAATGCATAAGAAAACTGGTACATTCACACAACAAGACATTATTCACCAAAAAATGGAAATGGACTATCAATCTATAAGAAAATACATCAGGAATTTAAATGCATATTGCCAAAAAATAAGCCAGTTTGAAAGGCTACTGAATGTATGATTTCAGCTATATGATATTCTGGGAAAGACAAAACTCCACACACCGTAAAAAAGTCAAAATTTCCAGGGATTCAGTGTGAAAGAAGGATGAATATGTGTTGCACAAGAAATTTTCAACAGGCTACAACTACTTTGTATGATTATGTAGGAGTAGATACATGACATTATGCATTTGTCAAAACCTGAAGAAATGCACAACACAAAGAGTTGACTTTAATGTAAACCACGGGCATTATTAATAAAGTATCACTCTTACTTTGTCAGTTGTTACGGGAATACCATCTAATGAGATATAATAGAGGGAACTGTGTCAGAGGGATAAATGAGAATCATCGATGCTGTGCAATTTCTCTGGAATTCCAAAGTGCTCTAAGAAAAGTCTATTAATTTTTAAATATATATAAAAGAAGTCTCTCCATACCAAACTACAAAACAGTGTTAAGAGTAATTTTAGAAGACAAGTAAAAGGAAGTATATAGTAGGTTTAGAGATTGGAACATTTAATTTAATTTTTTTTAAGAGAGATTCTTGCTACAGGGTGTGTGCGCTCACCAGAGAGACAGAAAGTGAGAAATCACCTCTCTGGGGATGGCCACATCATAATCCCTTCTCCTCCAGTCTCCTCTCAGTCTCTTGGACACGTGCGCACACACACACACGCCCATCATGAGTTTAAGCTGCTGGGTCCAGGACTCAAACCACAATCAACTACATGGGAGTCCAGCAACATAACCATTATGCCGTCTGCTGGTCCCAAATTTAATATTTTAAATAACTGATTCCTTTAAAATTTATTTATATATTCCATCTAATTTGCTCTGATCTTAAATGTATCAGTCTTTTTTTAAATACCTATAGGAGAAGCACGAGGGAGGTGAAATATGCGTGAACATTCCCCAGTTTTACATTATCGTTTATTATTTTCACTAAATGTTATTTAATTACTGAGACTTGTTTTACCCAATCAGATGCATCTGTGTTTGGGGGTAGGGATACCTCATTGTGTCTTTGCTTTATTTAGATTGGACTGGTGGTATATTTAGGTTGCCCCGGTTATTTATTCATGGGCTCAGCCAACTCCTCAATGCAAGACCTCCACTCTGAAGTGTCAGGACTGTTACAAGTTTCCAATTTCAGTTACAGGCTCTACTGGAACCACCTTTCATACACACAGTCCTTTCAGCCCAATAGGTGACCCAGAGTTACTGATATTTTTAAAGAATTATTTATTTAATTTTATTAATTCATTTATTTTCATTTGACCAGAGAAAGACACACAAAGAGAAGGAAAGTGAGAAAGCAAGCCACCAGGCCTGGGACTCAAACTGTGGTCAGCCTTGTGGGAGTGTCCAGTGCCTTAACCAACATGCCACCTGCTGGCCCTAGAGTTGATTCTAATGATCGTATTTGCAATGTAAAGTTATTTTAATAGATTCCATTTTAGTTTGTCCTTACACCAAGATCTTAGTTCTAAATCCAATGAAAAGTACAAGTCACATAAAAACTCAAATGGGAAGAGCTGGTACTACTTCACATTTTCCTGTTCCCTTCCCACCTGCTCACCTTAGCTATGAAGTCTACCTCCTAATAGAACCTGAGAGGGAGCTTTTTCTCATTCAATGGGTTATATGTTATTCTTTTCCATCACTGATGCCTATGTTATTTATAGTTGCATAACATAATAAAATTAAAATATTCCTAGATGAGACAAAGAAGTTGTTTTATGATAATATTCTGTGAGTTATGATGACTATGGTTTTCACCTTAGCTTATGAAAAAAATACTATGTTCAGCCTCACTAGATATATCCATACAGCGTGAATATGTTCGTAATGTACACTAGAAAGTTGTATTATTGCCATAAACTAGGATGATTTAAGTTTGCATAGGAGTTTATATGGTATGGAAAAAGCACTAGTTAAGGAATTAGGTGGCATCAGTTTTGTCATTTCTTGATGTGTTGTCTTGGTTAAATCACTAACCATATCTGGGCTTCAGTACAGCTTATGTGATTGGTAACAGCCTCTTAGTTTTAAGTTTTTGTGTTATTGCAATCTGGAAAGTTTGTTATAATTCTTGTACTTTAATGAAAAATGCTAGTAATGATAACACACATGTTAATATTTAGAAAATATTTTTATAAAAAGTGTTTTGAAATCTGTTTACTTTTATAGAGACTAATACAGGACACTTAACTGATACAACTGGAAAAGATACAACAAAAGGTGAAATTGAGACACAATCTAAAAACCAGCCCGGTAAGAACAAGAATTTTCTTAATCTACTTATGATTTATTTATCTTCTTTGGAATTTAAGTAAGTACAGACAACAATATCTATGTGTTATTATTACTTGAGAAAAAGTCTCCACAAAAGTCTCCTATAATTATTTGAACTGTAGCATTTACTCTCAATGGAAAATTAGATAAATATCTCTACTTTTGAGACTGGCAGGTGGCGTGGTGGTTAAGGGCATTGGACTCCCACATAGCCAACTGTGGTTTGAGCCCCAGACCTGGTGGCTTGTTTTCTCACTTTGTCTCTCTCTTTCTCTTTTTCTCTCTCTCTCATTCTGTCCCTCTCTGGTCAAATTAAAATAAATAAATAAAATAGCTAAAGTTAAATAAAATAATTATTTTTAAAAATCTCTTTATAAAAGTAAACTTTTAGGACGCCTTTATTCAAAAACTAATCCATAAAAGTCCAGTGCTAGAGTGACCTTAGAATATGCTTGGAACCAGCAGGTGGCATGGTGGTTTAAGACACTGGACTCCCATATGGTCAACCATGGTCCGAGTCCCAGACCTGGTGGCTAGCTTTCTGACTTTCCTTCTCTCGCTCTCTCTGGTCAATTAAAAATAATAAATAAATAAATAAATAGAATTAAATAAAATAATTCCTTGAAAGTATTTTTAGAAAAGAAAGAATGTGCTTTTAGAAGTATTTCAAATCCTTGCTCTCTATTTTGGCTAGTTAGGGAAGTTACATCGTATTTTCAAAAGCATAAATTCTAGCTTATAAATGTAGTAAGAAGAGGAATAGGGCTGGTTTTATTGGTTACCCATTCCCTCTATCTGGTCAAAGTATCAGGCAAATTTGTATATCAGCTACCTTCCAGTTTTTAGGTTTATTATATAGCTCAGAAACTAGAGCACTGCCATTTTCTCCTGGTGAAACAGAGACAGACTTCTGCTCGTCAACGTGGTGAGAAAAGAGCAGGAGAACTTAACAGAGACGTAAGTGGAAAGTACAGAGAGCCCTATTAACACAACTTGCACCTCAAGGCTACGACACAGAATCACATTGAAGAGGGGAGAGACTTTAGTAAAATAGAAAGTAGTCGTAGCCAAGTAACTAAATTAGTAAACAGACACAGAACAATAAAATCCTCAAAGAGGGGGAAGGGCATGTATGTGTGCATGCCCCAAATCCCAAAAGGAGAGTGGAGAAGGGATTGCAGCATGGCTATGCCCCCCAGTGGGTGTTTTCT